TTGATGTTATTGATGAACATCTGTTGAAACACCAATCTCCTATTGATGTAATTGATGTTGGTATATTAATTGATTGTAATGATGAACATCCATTAAAACATTGATCTCCTATTGTTTTAATTGATGTTGGTATATTAATTGATTGTAATGATGAACATTTGTTGAAACACCAATCTCCTATTGATGTAATTGATGTTGGTATATTAATTGTTGTTATTGATGAACATCCTTCAAAACATTTATCTCCTATTTTAATAACATTTGTTGGTATATTAATTGTTGTTATTGATGAACATCCATAAAAACATTCTTTTCCTATGTATTTAATTGATGTTGGTATATTAATTGTTGTTAATGTTGAACATCCTGAAAAACATTCTTTTCCTATGTATTTAATTGATGTTGGTATATTAATTGTTGTTATTGATGAACATCCTGAAAAACATTTATCTCCTATTTTAATAACATTTGTTGGTATATTAATTGTTGTTATTGATGAACATCCATAAAAACATTCATTTCCTATGTATTTAATTGATGTTGGTATATTAATTGTTGTTAATGTTGAACATCCATAAAAACATTTTTTTCCTATTGATGTAATTGATGTTGGTATATTAATTGTTTGTAATGATGAACATCCATAAAAACATTCTTTTCCTATGTATTTAATTGATGTTGGTATATTAATTGTTGTTATTGATGAACATTTGTTGAAACACCAATCTCCTATTGATGTAATTGATGTTGGTATATTAATTGTTGTTATTGATGAACATCCTTCAAAACATTTATCTCCTATTTTAATAACATTTGTTGGTATATTAATTGATTGTAATGATGAACATCCATAAAAACATTCATTTCCTATTTTAATAACATTTGTTGGTATATTAATTGTTGTTAATGATCCACAACAACTAAAACATCTATATCCTATTTTACTTATTGTTGATGGAATATTAAATTTATTAATATCTTTCTTCTCTATATTCTTTCCATTGATTATTTTTAAATTTCTCGGTATTTTAATACTGATTAATACTGGTTCATTCATAAATATTCTTTCTTCACTAAAATAGTGTATCTTTGCTATATCAATTCTTGTTATTGATGAGCATTTATAAAAACATTTTTTTCCTATTGATGTAATTGATGTTGGTATATTAATTGTTTGTAATGATGAACATCCTTTAAAACAATAATTTCCTATGTATTTAACTGTTGTTGGTATATTAATTGTTTTTAATGATTTGTATTTACATAAATGTTCTTTTCTTAATTCTCTGATTGTTGTTAGTACAGTGATTGATGTTAATGAATAACATCCATAAAAACATTCTTTTCCTATGTATTTAATTGATGTTGGTATATTAATTGTTGTTATTGATGAACATCTGTTGAAACACCAATCTCCTATTGATGTAATTGATGTTGGTATATTAATTGTTTGTAATGATAAACAAGATTTAAAAGTTCTATGTCCTAATTCACTAATACTTGTTGGTATATTAATTGACTCTAATCTTGAACATTCATAAAAACAATAATTTCCTATTTTACTAACACTTGTTGGTATATTAATTGTTGTTAGTGATGAACACTTTTCAAAACAATGACTATCAAATTCCCTAACTGATGTTGGTATATTGATTGACTTCAACATTGAACATCCTTCGAAACAATAATATCCTAATTTAGTAATTGATGTTGGAATATTAAATTCATTAATATCTTTCTTTTTAATTCTTTTTCCATTGATTATTTGTAGATTTTCTGGTATTTCAATACTGATTAATAATGGTTCATTCATAAATATTCTTTCTTCACTGATGAATTTTATTTTACCTAAATTAATAAGTCTTAATGATGAACATCCTTTAAATATTTTATATCTTATTTCACTAATTGATGATGGTACAGTAATTGATTGTAATGAATAACACCTACTAAAACACCCATCCCCTATTTTACTAACAGATGTTGGTATATTAAGTGATGTTAGTGATGTACATTCACTAAAACATTCATTCCCTATTTCTTTAACTGTTGTTGGTATATCAATTCTTGTTAACGATTCATATCCTTCAAAACATCTATTACCTAATTTACTAATTGATGATGGAATATTAAATTCATTAATGTTTCTTCTTTCTATAATTCTTCCATTAACTCTTTCTAAATTATCTGGTATTTCAATACTAACTAATACTGGTTCATTTATATGTATTCTTTCTTCACTAACAAATTGTATATTTTCTATACTCATATCACTCAATGAAAAACATCCTTCAAAACATTCTTTTCCTATTTCTTTAACTGTTGTTGGTATATTGATCTTACTTAACGAATTACATCCTTCGAAACAGTTATTTCCTATTCTACTAATTGTTATTGGTATACTAATACTTCTTATTCCACATTCATAAAAACATTCATTTCCTATTTCACTAATTCTTGTTGGTAAATTAATTTCTTTTATATCGTAACAACATTTAAAACATTCATCTCCAATTGATGTAACTTCCAGCGGTATTGTAGTTCCATATTTCTCTCTACTTCCCTTTGTATATACCACATTTTTACATATATTTCCTTGTTCTTTCTCCTTTAGACATCTTGAATATTCTACTTGATACCATATTACATATTTATTTATTCTTCCATCATTAAATATTTCATCACCTCTATTATAAATATGAAATGTTTCAATATTAGGAAGTAATTTTCTTGAATAATAGTTTAATGGAAATGGATTAAAATGAAATTGTTCCATATTTCCTTGAAATCTTTTAATACCTATTTCTAAATTAATAAAATCATTAATATCATTAAAGTACTTTGATGTTATCATTATTTCGTTTTGTTCTAATTTCATTTTATTACTCTTAATATTCTTAACATTCATTGGTGGTATGCTTCTAACCCATTCTAAAAACTTTTTTATTTCTGCTTCTGATCTAGTATTATCTTCTCCTTCTTCTGGTTGTGAATCAACAAAATACATTGGAAATTCAATAGACTCTCCATTTCCTGTTGTTTCTATAACAAGCTTCATTATTTCTTTTTGATACTCTTCTCTTTTCTTACTTATTTTCTTTTCTATTACCTTTTCAGGAATATAATAATAACAGTTTGTTAATATAATGCATAAATGTTGCCAAAATTCTGGTTTTGAAATTCTATTGTAAATCCTTTTAATCATCTCCTTACTACCCTTTGGAAATCTGTCTTGGTTATAATTAAATACAATTATTATTCCATGTAGTTCTCTTTCTTTTTTAATCGAATCAATCATTTGGTTTATCCATTTTTTATTCATTTCTTCTGATTCTTGAACTCCCGGCGTATCAATAACAAATACATTATTTCTATCTAAATCACCATAACTTCCTTTAACTCCTTTATTTTCTGGGCATACTTTATCACTTACAATAAATGCATTTTTCTTTAATATAAAATTACCTAATGAACTTTTTCCATCTCTGCTATTTCCTATAATAACCAATTTAGTTATCTTTACCTCTTCTTTATTTATACTCATTCCTTTTATACTAATTATTATTTTTAAGTTTCAATGATTTATTTAAAAACTAAATATTAATTAAATGTTTATTTAATTTCTCATTTTTTTTCAAATAAACTAAATAATAAAATTATTTAAAATTATTTCTTATAATTTAAAACTATAATTTTTCTAAATCTTCTAAATTTTTAATTTTTATATAAATTGAAATTTATCAAATCTAATTCCATGAAATACTACTTTTTCTCATTAAATAAAAATCACCCTATTAGTTCTGTAGTATACATTCATTTATTTCTTATTTCTTTTAAATTCATATATGAATGGTGTTATTAAAACATTGTATAAATTCATTTCTTTAGTTCTCTATCTTCCTTTTACATCAAATAATCATTTCAAATAAAAATTTTGAATACATTAGTTCAAGACATAATAAATATATTTGAAATGTTCATTATTATTGTTGTGTTATGAAATACCAATAACATCTATTCTCTTATTTATTTTGTTTTATATTATTTTTATCAACTCATGTGATACGTACTCTTTATTTCATTCTACAACTATTCTTGACTTCGACCAATTAAATTAAATACATCTGTATCATGACTTCAATCGCCTTTCTTATTATTAATGACAAAACCCTCTTCTACTACTATTTTCAAACATTACAATATCTCCTTTACTTCTCCTTATTTTATTATTTTAAATTTAATTTCTTGAAATATTATTTTCAAAAGTCACATTATTTAAATTTGATTTACTTGTTTGATACAAATTATCACTTTATTACTCTACCCTCTGACTATTTATATTTTTATTAAATATTATTGAATAAAACCAACAAACAAATTGTACAATCAAAGACATAAAAACACAAAATCTTTATTAATGATGATAGTAAATTTAAAAGAACGATATGAATAATACATATTTTATTTATTAAAGATGAGAAAAATAAAAAAGGTAAGATTCTTAATTGATACTTTTATTTAAAAACAAAATAAAATAAATTTAATATAATAAATAAATCAAAAATGTTTAAACTTATCTTTGTTCTCTTTTTCTAGGAGCAGCTTGAATGATATGGTCAACACGAATAATCATTTCAGCAGCTTCAGTAGCAGCAGTTAAAATGTGTTTTTTCACTCTAAAAGGTTCTATAATACCGATTTGTTTCATATCAGCAATAGTGCCATGTTCCATATCTAGACCAGCATTTTGAATTGAGTTATTTGCATGAGCAGCACGTAATTGAGCGACAAGATCAGCAGAGTCATAACCAGCATTGTCAGCAATGATCATTGGTAGTTGTCTTAACGCACGAGCAAAAGCCTCAACTGCTAAAGCCTTTTTACCTTCAGTTTTTTTAGCAGCTTCTTCAACTGCTAAACTTAATTCCATTTCAACACAACCACCTCCACAAATCATTTTAGTATCTTTACGAATGATGTGTAAGACACACAACGCGTCATGAAGACTTCTTTCCATCTCTCCTAATAATTGTTTAGATGGACCTCGTAATACAACAGTACAAGCCCCACCATGAGGGAATCCGCTAAATCTAATTAACGTCTCTTCACCAATCATAATTTCTTCAATACTTTTGCATGTACCTAATTTAGCTTCATCAGGATGATCAAAAGTAGACAAAATCTCTGCACCTGATAATGCAGCAATTCTTTCAACTCCATCAAAATCAGCGTGGTCAATTGAAACAATACCATTGGCATTAAAGAATTGTTCTGGGATTGGATATATTAATTGTCTTGAAACAAAACAAGTAACACCATGTGCTTTAATTTGTTCACATTTCTTTAACATACGAGTTCGCTCAGCTTCTTCAATTTCAGCTACTTTTGAAACACTATCAACTTTAACTTTACCACTCCAAATTTTAATTCGATCATTGTCCATAGCAGTGTTGGCAACCATAATTTTTGGATTTTCTACTTTATGTTTTTGTGCTGTTCCAAATTTCTTTTCTAATAAGAATCCATCTTCTAAATATGATTCTCTCATTTCTCCTCCAATCTTTTGAAGAATAACAACATTATCAATATCAGCATCTCCAATCTTTTCAATAGCATCAACAGCAATTTGTGCAAATTTTTCTTTTTCTGCTGAAAGAATTTTTGATGATAAAGTAGTGCGTGCAATGTCCATCAATCTTTTTTTATATGCTTCGTGATCACTTGAAACATCAAATTGCATAGTTTCTAATTTTTCTTGTGCAGCTTTTAAAGCAATTCTCCATCCCTCAATTATAACTTGTGGGTGAATTTTTTCTGCCATTAATTTCTCTGCTTCTCTCATTAACTCTCCAGCTAATACTGTTACTGATGTTGTTCCATCTCCAACTTCTTCATCCGTTGTTTTACTCATTTCAACAAGAACTTTAGCAGCAGGGTTTTCTAATCTAACTGATTTGAGAATAGTTGCTCCATCATTGGTAACAGTGATATTATCAGCTTGTGATGATCCAATCAATATTTTATCCATTCCCATTGGTCCTAATGTTGTTTTAACTAAATCTGCAATAGCAATAGCACCTACTGTTGCAGTCATTCTTGCTGTATCACCAACAACGTGTTGAGTATCACTCTTAAGTACTCGAACTGGTGTAGAATCAAATTGTGTTCCTTGCATTTGTCTTGTTGTTTTTTAAATAATCAGTTCTATTTCTTTTTAAAACTTTTTTATTATATTTTTGTTATTCTTTATTATTCCTTTTACTATTTCGTTTTTTTTTTTAGTTGAACGCTTATTCAACTCTAATTATTTTCTTTTTTAAAATTCTATTTTTTAGGTTTTTGTTATTATTTCTTCTAATTTATTATTATATTTTTGTTTTATAAAACATTTAATATCCAATTTTATTCTTTATTGTTTTTCAAAAACCAACTGAATAGAGCTTTCTTTTATTTAATTACAGAACCTTCCTAAAATCAGCTCTATTTAATAAACAAGTCTTTGAAACGAATAATAAATACAATGTATAGTATTATTTGTTTTGTTTGTTTTTAATTTTCTCAATCTTTTAAGATTTATTTCTTAATTTCTTCTACCTCATGTTCCTGTTAATTATTTTTCTGACAATATACCTCTCTTCATATCATTTGTTTAAAACACTTAAAAAATTAAAACACAGTTAAGAGTTATTGTGTAATTAAATGAAAATAAATTCACTTAAAAAAATATTTAAGAAAAGAAATTGAACAACTTCATTCTGATTTGTTATAAAATATTACTGATTTTATTATTTGATTTAAACTTAAAAATATTAATGAGTATGTTTTACAATAATGTAATATATTATAACGTTCATGACTATTTAATAATCATATCATAATAAACTAAATGTATTACTATAATAGTTTATTATGAATACATGTTGTCTTATAACTAACATTTAAACTAAACAATTCTAGCATTTAACCAATTACTTTATAGTTTTAGATTAAATTAATATAATATCAAATGATTTAAAAAAATATTATCAATCATTATAGTTTTATCCTATAATTTATGGTTACTTATAAATTAGTGTTGATTATAAAATATAATAGAGTAAATCATATTTATATCTTCTTAATGAACTATTCATTGATAATAATTATAATACTTTCAATACTAATTTAACATGAGATAAAATCAGATTAATTGTATTAAAACAATTCAATAGAGTATTAATTTTAATTAATTTAAATAATCTATCAAGAAGTTTTTTTCATATTTTTATTAAATTTGTTTTAATATATATATATAAATAGTTGACAAAATATAAATATTATTAAAATTCTCTTCTTTTTTTTAAAAAAAAACAAGATTATGAAAGAATGAATGATGTAATGTTAATTGTTTTTTCTCTTTAAATTTGTTGATTCTAAAAATATGGTATATCATTAATAATGATTATTACTATAATTCTAAAAAGTTGATACACTACTCATATACATTTTTATCAATACTGATTCAACAAAATATTAAATCTATTAAAAATTTAAACATGTGGATATATTAAAAATTAAATAACTGTATTGACTCTCTATTGCAAATTAAAAACAAACGAACAATTGGCTGTAGTACTTTCATATATTTATAAATCTCTACTAACTTTTATTTTTATAAAATATATAACGTGATTATTTTTTAAATAATATACTATATAACTTATTAAACTCTTATACTCTTTTGTTTAATTGATTTATCTCTTGAATTTGTTAGATTAAATAAAAGAGTTTCTTCTGAAATCAAACTAATATATTAGAATAAATCTATGAATAGATTAAATAAATAATAACATATCAATTCATTTAATGAGTAAAGATAAAACAAAGTTATAAAATGGTAGATAAAGATAACAAATAAATTAAAAATTATAAAGACAGAATTGTTAAGAATAAGAATATTAACAGATAATGGTTAATCAAAACAAATTCTATTAAGAACTTCGAATTAGAGGTTGTGAGAAATAACTTTTCCTCACAAAAATTCAATTTAAGACATATCAACAAATCGTTCATCTTTTTATTGAGAAGTAATTATTTCAATTTATTCAATATTCTAATTCTATCATAAAATTCTTTTCTATATGTTCTCAATAAAACAATTATAAACAAAAAAAAAATTATTTGTTATTATTCAGAGAAAGTTGATTTTTACAAAA